AGTAGTACAGTAGGCACTACAGTGATTTTATGCAGTTATGATTTAATATTGCACCATCATTACTTTTGTTTACACTTCTCTGGACTGTGAATAGTACCATATATGGTATGTAAGTGTATGCATAAATTTTAATCATTCATAATAGACTTGTATACATCTGATAGTACTAAATGATAAAATAGACTAGTGTCTACGTATATTTTATATATTCATGACATACCTTTTTCTTAATTTTTTCACTATTTCTTTTTTGTATGATTTTATTTATTTTCTCACTGGCACTGATCTACTGCACTTAAACATTTTCATCAGACTCAAAAAATAATTTTATTTCAGGAGAAAGAAAAAATTTTACTTAGCTTTTGTTTATACTGTTTCATTATTAAGAGTATTTTTTTCTTTTTTTAAGAGATAAGATCTTGCTATGTTGCCCAGGCTGATCTCCAATTCCTGGCTTCATACAATCCTCCTGCCTCAGCCTCCTGAGTAGCTGGGACTATAGGTATATGCCACTTCTCCCAGTTTGACTTTTTTTTGTTTTTTTTACTATAATGTAATGTGTTTTTATTCACCCATTGGAAAAGCCTTTGCTACATATTAATACAAACTTGTCACTAATAAATCTTTCTTTCAGTAAGAAAATAATATGAACATAACTTTGTGTGAGTTTTAATGTCCTGGAGCCTTGTTGCTTCATGTATAAACTGCAGGTCACTAGAAATTAAAATGAGGTAATATGGTATAATAGGCTTAACCCAGTAAGCGTACAATAAAGGATGGCTATTATTTTAACATGAATTCAACTGAAATCCCGATAGGGGAATACCAATAATGTTTCCTATATAGCTTACAAATTGTTCTTTGTCATCTCCTCAGCTGCCCAATGGGAATTAGAGCTAGCCTGTTAGGCTGCTTGACAGGACCACTGAATGCTGGAAATCAACCACACTCCATCCCCTCATTTAACAGATGGGAAAGCAGAGGCCCAGGGAGTTTGGGAAACTTGTCCACAAAGGGACAACTACTTTATGGCTGAACTGCGTCTAGGACCAGGTTCTCTTTATCGACATGAGTATCTCTTTCCTTTATATGCCCCTTCACGTTCACAAAGCAACTCCTCAGCTCCATGATTTTGTTTATTATGCTACATCACTCAGTTTATGAAAATGACTTTTTTTCCTCCTTTCTTGTGATTGGAAGTTTTTTTGCATTCTTGTGGCAGCTGAATCCATACTAACCCTTAAGTTGAAAAAAAAAATATATAAAAATACACACACACACACATACACACATACACACGTGAACATGTGGAAGAAACAGCACTAGGTCTCCCTGGACAACCCAGTGCAGGCCACACCCTGGCAGTCACAGAGCACACATCAGAAATTGTCTTCCCATGTGAACTGCTTTCAACACTTCAATGCTAAAGAGCTCAGAGGTGCTTCCACTTTGAAAGAAGCCCGGGAACATTTGTAGCCTACCCATTAATGTGTCTCATTTTGAGACAGAACAGTGAGCAGGTAAACCAGCTGCTCTTCATGTACTTCTTGCCGTAAGTCCTTCAAAGAATGAAGAGTGAAGACAATTCATTTCTCCTCCTGGAACTTCTTCTTATTCTTCTGCTTTTTTAAAGGTTGCTATGTTCAGGTATAGGGATAAGACATTATAAAAGATAAAGGATATCATGTGAGGGAGGAAATCAGACAATCCAAAAAAATCTGTAGAAATTAAAAATCAAAACATGCAGGCAAGGTAGGAGGCAACACATTCTTGCCACAGAGCTGTTCCTCAAAGGCAGGAATGAAAAACGAAAAACAAAAAAAAAGACCTCAGCTGCATAATGAAGCTGAGGTCTTGGCCTGACAGCTTTAAATAGCCTTAAAACTGGGCTGGGCATCAAGCGTCTTTTCCAGAATAGGCCAAGGAAGACAAGTCCAGTTTGGTTTTTAAGGCCTTAGTGAGCTCTGCAGCCAGCAGATCATGGAGGGACACACTATCGTGGGAGTACACCCAGTTTTCCCCAGTCCAGTCATAACGCTTGAGTCCACTGGATGGAGAAGATAACTAGATTTGCTTGTTTGGCATCTGCTTGTTGATCACGTAGGTTCCTAGATCTCCACTCAGTTTACCAGTTAAGACACCACTCCCAAAGGAAACATAATCCTCAAACGTGTATGGCTTGTCTGTAAGGTCTTCAAAAAAAACTGCTAAACAGTCCAGTGATTCCTCTGCTAGTCTTTCATAGGTAGTCTCATCTAGAGAGGCTGGGTGGCCCAAACTTCCTGATTTCCTCAAATTCATCCAACAGACACTCTGCTTTTTGACATTCCGAATCTGGTTGAGGCCACGGAGGTTCAAACTGGCATGGTGGGGCGTGCAGGCCACGGTGATTCCAGTGCACAGGCCCCGGCAGCCACAGAGCGGGGCCAATTCCACTGGCTGCGGGGCCCGGGTGAACAATGTTTTCAATATTTCTAGGCTGTGTAGTTTATTTGTTTTGCAAACAGTAGCAAATCTCCAAAATTTTTCCAATTTATTTATTGAAAAAAAAAATGTGTCTTAAGTGGAACTGCACAATTGGCCCATGCAGTGGTACAATCAGAGTTCACTGCAGCCTCAAACTCCTGGGCTCAAGCAATTCTCCCACCTTAGCCTCCTGAAGAGCTGGGACTATAGGCACATACCACTACATTTGGCTAATTTTTAAAATTTCTTTGTAGAAATGAGGTCTCACTATGTTGCCCAGGCTGTTCTCAAACTTCTAGCCTGAAGTGATGCTCCTGTCTTGGCCTCCCAAAGTGCTGAGATTACAGGTGTGAGCCACTGCGCCTGACCCACTGCAGTTCTTTTACATTTTAAAATTACCATAATAAAATGGAAAGAAATAATATTTTGAAACCAAAAGTTGCAAAAGATTTTTTTAACTGTTCAGGCATATTTGAAAAAACATTTTACTTACAGAAGTGAAAAATATAATGGCTAAAATATTTAAAATCTCAAGGAAGTGTTGTATAGGTACATGTATACACAAAAAATAAACAGCTAGAAAAGTGCACTATCAAGTCAAGCAAAAGACTTGAACACATTCTTTACAAAGAGAAAAAGAGAAGAACACTTATGAGAAGTTGCTCAACCTCAATAGTAATCCTGGAAATAAAAATTCAAACCACAATGACCTACCACTTTACACTCAGCAGATTCACAAAAACTATAAAGTATGACTGCAACAAGTGTTGGAAAGGAAGGATTACAGAAATAGCAACTCTTACATCCTGCTAGTATGAGTGTAAACTGATACAACTGCTTTGGAACACAGTCTGGCATTACCTAGCAAAGTTAAATATGCTTATATCCTCTGATCTTGCAATTCTACTATTACGTATATTCCTCAGAGAAAATCTTATATATGTGTACCAGGAAACTGATAAAAGAATTTCACAGCAACATCATTTTTGTTTTTTGTTTTTTTTCCCCAAGACTGAGTCTTGCCTGTTGCCCAGGTTGGAGTACAGTGTTATGATCTCGGCTCACTGTAACCTTCGCCTCCTGGGTTCAAGCAATTCTCTTTCCTCAGCCTCCCGAGTAGCGGGGATTACAGGTGCATGCCACCATGTCTGGCTAATTTTTGTAATTTTAGTAGAGACAGGATTTCATCATGTTGGCCAGGCTGGTCTTGAACTCCTGACCTCGTGATCTGCCCACCTAGGCCTCCCAAAGTGCTGGGATTACAGGTGTGAGTCACTGTATTTATATAATAATAAATCACTTATATAACAAATGGCCAGCATCATTTATATAATAATAAAAACTTGGAAGCAACCCAAATGTCCATTATCAGAATAAGTAATGTGCAATGTACAAATAATGCCTAGTGTTGTATAGTCAAACAAAATGAATGAATGAAAGCTATAGTCAATCAACATGGGTCAATCTCAGGAATAAAACATTGGCAAAAAGGAAGTTGCAGAAGAATACACACAATACGGATTCATAAATATGTTGCGTAGGAATAGAAATACATGCTGCAAAACTATAAAGAAAAGTGAATGATTTAAAAAAAAATTCAGGGCCGGGTGCAGTGGCTCACGCCAATAATCTCAGCGCTTTGGAAAGCCAAGGCGGGTGGATCACCTGAGGTCAGGAGATCCAGACCAGCCTGGCCAAAATGGTGAAACCCTGTCTCTACTAAAAATACAAAAAATTAGCTAGGTGTAGTGGTGGGCGCCTATAATCCCAGCTACTACCTGGGAGGCTGAGCCAGGAGAATTGCTTGAACCTGAGAGGCAGACGTTGCAGTGAGCTGAGATCGGGTCACTGCACTCCAGCCTGGGCAACACGAGTGAAACTCCATCTTTAAATAAATAAATAAATAAAATTCAGGATGTGAGTTTCATTTGAGAGGGAGATAGGATCAGGGAGGTATTGAAAATGTTCTACTTTTATTTTTTTTATTTTTTGAGATAGAGTTTCACTCTTATCGTCCAGGCTGGAGTGCGATGGTGCAATCTCTGCTCACTGCAACCTCAGCCTCCTGGGTTCAAGCAATTCTCCTGCCTCAGCCTCCAGAGTAGCTGGGATTACAGGTGCATGCCACCATACCTGGATAATTTTTTTATTTTTAGTAGAGAAGGGGTTTCAGCATGTTGGCCAGGCTGGTCTCCAACTCACGACCTCATGTTCCACCAGCCTCGACCTCCCAAAGTGCTGGGATTACAGGCAGGAGCCACCAAGCCCAACCAGAAAATGTTCTACTTTTAAACAAAGGATAGGTACTCAGATGTGCCTTAATATTGTCAGTCTTTATACTTTACATATTCATTTGTGAATATATATTTTTTTACTTAACAGACCAGTGTGAAAGTACATTTGTAAATATCATTTTGAATTTGTCCAAAATAATATTATTTTATTATAACCTTATTTTATACAGGTAAAATATAATACATGTTCTTAAATACCTAAAATGATAAAATTCATCTTTAATAATGTTCTTTGCCTACCCGAAAAATCTTGTGCATCCTCATGGTGGCTGAACAAAAGATAAATCTTGTGAGGAGCAAGCGAAGAAATTCATCTCCAAAAAACTGGAGAAATGCCTGATCTGCAAAGAGGAGAAAAGTGACAGTAAAAAGATGCTTAAATGGAAATTGTGTTTCAAAGGGGAAGGAAACTTCAGGAAAGCCTTCTCAACTTTCCTGCCTGGGACACATACCTTTAAAAATTCAAACAATTTAAAGTAAGTGACCATTTTAAGCCATTATAGTACATTCTGTTAAATGTGCAGTTAGATTAGGAGGGTACCTATTGAACGTGAATGAGTCAGTAGCTGGGCAATATCACGGTTGATTTTCCGAAGATATTCTTGACACTTTTCCCAAAGGCCTCTGCGCATGCTTGACAATCCAGAGACAAATAGGAAGGCCATTAGAGGATTGTTCAAAAAGAGAGTGAAGAGGCTACCTCGCTGAGATTGATCTGTAATAACAAACATGTTATATATATAGATAATAGTTTTGCAAAAAATAAGAGATACATATGAGGAACATTTTAATATACTGATAATATATAAAACTAAAGCTATCTCATTAAATCATAATTCAACAAAGCAGATTCTTCATGAAACTACAAAAACGTTGGTATGTTGCTTTCTGCTGAATAAACTTAAGAGCCTAGCAAACTTAAGAGAAATGGAAAACGAACATATTTCTTACCATTTTTTGCCCTCAATTAACAAATTTCATCCAAATATGGCAAGTGTTGGATGATGGGTTATCTGTGATAGAATTCTCTGATGAGTGTTAGAAATGCCGGTCTTTTTCATTCTCCTCTAAGTTGCTCTCTCTGAGTTGCTCTTTCCCTTCCTATCCCTTAAATACGAGTAGTTTCTTTCTTTGGCCCCATACATTGCTGACTGCTCTTACTCCCATGATTTTAGTTACCATTTATATGCCTATGAATTTGTAATTCTCTATCAGCAGCCTAACAGGTCTGGCACCGCTCTGTCCTGCGGTAGATACTCAAAATGTGACTAGATGAGTAAATACACACTGGATTTCAAAGCTTTAGTACAAAACGTCATTGTTAACACTAATTTCACCTATTTCTTTTTACTGTTTTTGATGTAGGTACTAGAAAATTTAATGACTCACACTCTATTTCTTTTAAGTACTGCTGCTCTAGGCTACTCTATTCAACCTAACCCTCAAAGGCACCTCAAACTCAACAGGTCAACAACTCAAAGTAAATTATTTCCCCTTTTGTTCTCTACAAATATGCTTCTCATCAAGTATTGTCATTTCTACCAGCATCTCAGCCAGAAACCACGAAGTCTATTCCTGCCTTCCCTCCCCACACCTAGTCCATCACAAAGTCCTATTGGTTCTATGGGCTTAGTATCTTTGCAATCGGCTACTAATCATTGTGCTATCTCCAGCCATCTCCCTGTTTTCATCCATGCCCCTCCCCAGTTCATTCTCTAGGAGGTTAACTGAATGCTCTTTCATGCTACTCTTCTGTTTAAATCTTTTGACAGTACAAGTTGAGTATCCCTTATCCAAAATGCTTGGGGCCAGAAGTGTTTTGGATTTTGGATTTTTTGGGATTTAGAATATTTGCATATACATAATGAGATGTCCTGGGGACAGGTCCCAAGTCTAAACACGAAGTTTATTCATGTTTAATATGTACCGTATACACATAACCTAAAGGTAACTTTATAGAATATTTTAATTAATTTTGTACATGAAACAAACTTTGTACTAAGTACTGATAAGTGGAATTTTTCACTTTCAGTGTTGTGTTGATACTCAAACTTTTGAATTTTGGAGCATTTCAGATTTTAGGATTAAGGATGCTCAACCTGTATCCCATTGTCTTCCACTTAAATTACTTAACAAATCTTAGAAGTTCTTTCATAATTCAATCACACAATCTCAAACTCTACCCTTTAGCTAGAAGGAATGACTAATTTCTCTATGTACTCGGCCAGGGGTGGTGGCTCACACCTGTAATTCCAGCACTTTGGGAGGCCAAGGTGGGCGGACCACTTGAGGTCAAGTGTTCGAGGCCAGCCTGGCCAACATGGCGAAACCCTGTCTCCAGTAAAAATACAAAAGTAGACCAGGCACGGTGGCTCACGCCTGTAATCCCAGCACTTTGGGAGGCCAAGGTGGGCGGATCACGAGGTCAGGAGTTTGAGACCAGCCTGGCCAACATAGTGAAAACCCGTCTCTACTAAAAATACAACAAAATTAGCTGGGAGTGGTGGTGAGTGCCTGTAATCCCAGCTACTTGGGAGGCTGAGGCAAGGAGAATCGCTTGAACTTGGGAGGCAGAGGTTGCAGTGAGCCGAGATTGTGCCACTGCATCTAGCCTGGGGGACAGGGCAAGACTCCATCTCAAAAAATAAAATAAATTTCTCTACGTGCTCCCTAAGCTATCTTATCTCATGGCCACAGCACCTGCAAATTCTCAGCTGGAACACTCTTGCTCAGTCATTTCCCACCCCCATCTAGTTCTCCATGTTCTTAACGTCCACGTTAGACATTATCTCATACCCTTCCCTCGTCTTCAGTGTGCTGCTAGTCAGGAGTTCCTCATCCATTAGCATGCATCCTCCTGTGAATCACTTATAATAACTGCCCATCAGGCTGTCTCTGTCTGCCACAGGACATTTGGCTCTGTGAAGAATGTAACTGTGCTTGTCAGGTCACAGTGCTATCTCCAGTGCCTAGCACAGTACCTGATAATAAATGTTGAATAGCACTGGGAGGCCAAGGCAGGCAGATCTCTTGAGCCCAGGAGTTTGAGACCAGCCTAGGCAACATGGCGAGACCCAGTCCCTACAAAAAAAATACAAAAATTAGCTGGGTGTGGCAGTGTGTACCTGTAGTCCCAGCTATTTGGGAGGCTGAAGTGGGAGGATCACCTAGCCCAGGAGGTAGAGGCTGAAGTGAGCTGTGATCACACAACTGCACTTCAGCCTGAGTGACAGAGTGAGACCCTGTCTCCAAAAAAAAAAAAAAAAAAAAGGTTGAATAAATGAAGTAACTCTTGGCTAATGAGAGAACTAAAGGCTTTAGATCTCAAAAGTGCTTACTGATCAGCTAGTTTTGCACCCACGTGGAGGGCCCTCCCCTTTTGCAGAGGTGAGTAGCAATAATACCTATGGATAAATCCAAAACATTTCTCACAAAAGAATTTTGAATCTGCTTTTGTAACTGAACAATTAATTTAAGGTGTTAGAGGTCTAAGCTTTGTAGCATAAAGATAAGAAACTGGGTCAAAATGTGTTAAGGACATGTATTACAACTAAGCATAATCATAATAATGAGAGCACATATTGAGTAATTACTACATACCCAGCATTATTCTATGAGGTAGATACTATTATTATTTCCATTTGATAGATGAAGAAACTGAGGCACAGAATGGCTGAATAATTTCCCAAGGTCACACAGCGAGTAAGTGGCTGAGTCGGGATTCAAATTCAGTCAGTTTGCCTCCAAAGTCTGTGTTTTTCTCTTCTATACAATGAAGTCTTTCAGACCAAATCATCTTGGTATTAACCCATTTGACCATGTAAATTTAAAAACTACGTAATGATAGGACAGAATGATAGCAGAAAGTACTGCTGAGTAACTGAAAGAGATTACATTCCTCCAGAAATGATAAGAAACAGGATAACAAAATCTTCAAAGCAGGAGAATTTTACCGTTGTTTGAAGGTAAGTTCTATCCCTTAGTAATTTACTTTTGGATACATGAAGTTAATATTTCTACATGTTTTTCCCTGTTAAACAGCAGAACTTACCTTAAAACAACGGTGAAAGCCTCCAGCTTCTCTCAGGCATTCAAATGCTGACCATCACTTCCTGTGTCAAACTATGTCAGCAGACAGGACTTCTGGCTGGGAAGTAGCAGTAAAATGCCATCTCCCACAGAGAGACATCAGCACTATTCACAGTTAGGGAGATAGTGAAACAGTGACAAGTACTGCTAAAACAGTGTTAAGGTTGTTTAGTATTTTACCTACTAAATGACTGGGAGTTAGAATTAGATTTTATGTGTCACTAATTAAAGACAAACTATTAAGGACAAAAAGTCTTTCGATTCTCAGCCATTGAAGAAATGGCCAAAACACTAACCTGTCTCTCTGGCAGACTTAAAAGAGGTTCTTTTATTTTAAAATTACAACAAGGCAAAAATGTGAATAAAAGAAACACTTTAAGTTGTGCCAGTTACGTTATCCTAACTCTGAGGCATAGACTGAGAAGTTTCCTAGACCAGCAATCTTACAGTCTTAAAAGATGCCTTGGATCTTTTAAAACATGCCTGCAAAGATATAGGAAGACCATGCTATACGGATATGACCAGCAAACAAACACCTGTAAAACAAATTTTAAAATTTACAAATCATGAGTTCCCCATCAGCAAGGAACAAAACCACTTCTTTCTCAGGGATGAATTATCTCAAGGCCTAATGGTAGCACATTAAGGGATCCTGGTTGTTGGCAAGGCTTCTGGGTATATTTCAGAGCGACACCTGCCACATTAAACATCATAAATCCACATACGATCATTATGGGAGGAAAAAACAAAGATCAGTACTATTCAAAATGTAGATAGTGTTTATTTGCAACCTATGGCTGTAACAGGCAATGAGGGTACATACCTTGTAAAG